TAACTCAATAATGGAGTGCTTGCCTAGATTCCAAATCTTTTCATCATTTACAAGTACATGCACACATGTTAAAGGAACACATCACTTGTTTGACTCATGAGGTATACAGTTGTCCAGCAGTATCTCAGTGGAATTGGTCCCAGTACACACACACACACACACACACACACACACACACCCTCCCTCCCTCCTCTGTAAGAACAGATATCAAAATCCACACATTCTCGAGTCCCTTGTCTTGCCCTTTGCCCAGGTGTGCCAGAGCAGTGGAGTAGGTTGTAGACATGCCAAAGAAAGTGCCTGGAGACAGCATGGGAGATGGGATCACTCCGGACGCAAAGCTGTCATCGTGAAGATATTAATGATGGCACATCAGATCACCCCTACAGCCATGCTCTGGTGGCTGGAATCACTGCTGTCCCCACAAAGTGACAGCTACCATGGGCAAGAAGAAAAATCACCAAAAGGTCAAAGATCAAGTCTTTTGTGAAAATTTATAATGACAATCACCTCATGCCCAAAAGGTACTCTGTGGGTATCCCCTTAGACAAAACTGTCGTCAACAAGGATGTCTTCAGAGATCTGCTCTTAAGTGTAGGCCCGTCGGGAGGCCAAGATTAAGTTTGAGGAGAGGTACAAGACAGGCTAGAACAAATGGTTCTTCCAGAAGCTTCAGTTTTAGATATTTTTAAGTGTTCCCATCATTTAAAACAAAATTAAGAAAAAAAAAGAGGCCAGAGACGGCGGGCGCCACAGAGAGTTCTGTGGTGACAGGCTGAGCATAACTCTGACCCTTGTGCTGCTTTGGCAAACAGAGCCCCCCCCCCCCCGGCCACTTCACAGCACTCTGCCCAGGGCAGCAGCTAGCTGGACAAGTGACACAGTGCCCTCAGTTCTGCAACCGTCCCCACTCAGGGGGGTTCACCTGTTAGGCTTCGGAAGCAGCAACATTGTTGGCATCAGTTTGCTGAGTTTGCTTGTATGACCAGCATCCCAGGGAGCACCTGTTGTGCACATGCAAGAAAGTAGCTTTTGCCAGGCATGGTGGCATGCACCTGTAATTTCAGCAGCTCAGGAGGCTGAGGCAGGAGAATTACAGGTTCAAAGCCAGCCTCAGGAACATAGTGAGGCCTTAAGCAACTTAGTGAAACCTTGTCTCAAAAAATAAAAAGGGCTGGGGATGTGGCCCCTGGTTAAGCACCCCTAGGTTCAATCCCTGGTACCCCCCCCAAAAAAAAAAAGAAAAAAGAAAAAAAAAGTAGTTTCCACAGGTAACACAGACTTGCCCTAGTTCCCAGTGTGCATAAGAGAAATCTAGTATCCTCCTAGATAGTGTATCTGGACGTTCCTGCCCAGACTTGCTCTCATTCACTTGGCTAGGATTTTGGGAACAGAAAGGGGGCAATCACATAAACATATATTGGAGAAAAGATAGTCTCTTCAACAAATGGTGCTGGGAAAAGTGGACATCCACATGTAGCAAAATGAGATTAAACCTCAATCTCTCACCCTCCACAAAATCAAAGTAAATCAAGGACATAGGAATTAGACAAATGATGCTGCACCTGCTAGAAGAAACTGTAGCCCCGACTCTCCATCCTGTCCACAAGACTCCTAAGGTGCAAGAAGTAAAATCAAGAATCAGAGAGCCTGCAGAATGGGAGAAAATCTTTGCCACCTGCACCTCAGATAGAGCATTAATCTCCTGGATATATAAAGAACTCAAAAAACTTACCAAAAACCATATAACCCAGTCAAAAAAATGGGCAAAGGACCTGAACATGCACTTCACAGAAGAAGAAATATGAATGACCTACAAATATATGAAAAAATTCAACGTCTTTAGCAATTAGAGAAATGCAAATTAAAACTACACTGAGATTCCCTCTCACTCCAGTCATATGGCAGTTATCAAGACTACAGTTAACAATAAGTTGGCAAGGATGAGGGGGGAAAGGTACACTCATAACACTGCTGTTGGGACTGCAGATTTGTGCAAGCACTCTGGAAAACAACATGGAGAGCCCTCAGAAAACTTGGAATGGAACCACCATTTGACTCAGTTATATACTCCTCAGTATATACCCAAAGGACTTAAAATCAGCATATTTCAGTGACACAGCCACATTAATGTTTATACCAGCTCAGTTCACAAAAACCAAGCTGTGGGACCAACCTAGGTGCCCTTCAACAGATGAATGGAGAAAGAAATGTGAGATAGACACACACACACCTACAATGAAATATTACTCAGCCATAAAGAAGAATAAAATTATGGTGTTTGCTGTAAATGGATGGAACGGGAGACTATCGAGCTATGTGAAATAAGCAAGTCCCAAAAAAACAAAGGCTGGTTGTTCCCTCTGCTATGAAGATATGCAGATGCTAACACAATGAGAGGGGGTGGGGATAGAAGTTCATTGGATTAGACAAATGGAATGATGAGAAGGGAAGGGGAATGAGAATAGTAGAGACAGTAGAATGAATCGGACATCACTTTCCTATGTTCATACGTGAACACACGACCAGTGTAACTCCACATCATGTACAACCTCAAGAATGGGAAGTTATGCAAGTACATGAAAAAATGCTCACCATCTCTAGCAGTCAGAGAAATGCAAATCAGAACCACCCTAAGATACCATCTCACTCCAGTAAGATTGGCAGCCATTATGAAGTCAAACAACAAGTGCTGGCGAGGATGTGGGGAAAAGGGTACACTTGTACATTGCTGGTGGGACTGCAAATTGGTGCGGCCAATGTGGAAAGCAGTATGGAGATTCCTGGGAAAGTTGGGAATGGAACCACCATTTGACCCAGCTATTGCCCTTCTCAGACTATTCCCTGAAGACCTTAAAAGAGCATACAACAGGGATACTGCCACATCGATGTTCATAGCAGCACAATTCACAATAGCTAGACAGTGGAACCAACCCTGATGCCCCTCAATAGATGAATGGATAAAAAAAATGTTGCATTTATACACAATGGAGTACTAGGCAGCACTAAGAAATGACAAAATCATGGAATTTGCAGGGAAATGGACGGCGTTAGAGCAGATTATGCTAAGTGAAGCTAGCCAATCCCTAAAAAACAAATGCCAAATGTCTTCTTTGATATAATGAGAGCAACGAAGAACAGAGCAGAGAGGAAGAGCAGGAGGAAAAGATTAACATTAAACAGAGTCATGAGGTGGGAGGGAAAAGGGAAATTGGATGGAAATGGAAGGAGACCCTCATTGTTATACAAAATTACATATAAGAGGTTGTGAGGGGATGGGAAAAAATAAGGAGAGAAATGAATTACAGTAGATGGGGTAGAGAGAGAAGAGGGGAGGGGAGGGGGATAGTAGAGGATAGGAAAGGAGCAGAATACAACAGTCACTATTAAGGCAATATGTAAAAACGTGGATGTGTAACCGATGTGATTCTGCAATCTTTGTAACGTTTTGAATAACCAATAAAAAAAAGAATGGGAAGTTATGGTCTACGAATGTATGTCAAAATGCACTCTACTGTCATGTAGACCTAAAAAGGACAAATCAAAATACATGGGTTTAGGAAGGGGGGGCATTCAGGGACACGGTGTTTTACTGCCCCGCCCCCTTTTCGAGGATGATAGTCCTTTATAGAAAACGTGGCGTTTGTATGAACCTGTACACGTCCCCTGGTGCACTTGATATGGCCTCCCGATGAGTCGTACCGACTGCGACGTGGACGGGTGGGCGCTGCTGCACTGGAGGTCGCGCGCACTGGGCACCACCGCAGGCTGCACTGCCTGGTCTGTTGCCCACGTCCCCCTCGCTGCCAGCCCCACCTGCGGACAGCCGCCTGCACTGGCCAGGCCTCCTGCGTCACAGTGGCCCTGTGTCTGAAGCCCTCTTGCTTCTCGGTGGGCCCCCGCCGCCTAGCGCGGGGGTGGGGTGTCCAGCGCAGCGCCTGCCCGGCCCCTCCCGCGCGGCCCCCGCTGCATGCTGGGAAGCGGTGCGAGGCCTGGGTGCCATGGAAACGCACACTCTGCAGCGAGGGCAGTTCCGATGTCACGGGGCAGCGTCCCCAAGAGGCCCAAGGCAGGAGTTGGAACGAGCTTGTTCTCCTGTGTTGCTGGGTGTGTGCGCGCGCACCAGGAGGCCTGGGGGGGGGCTCCGAGCTCTGCGCATGCGCCTGTCCTGGCCCGGGGTCGCAGGGACCGCAAGCAACACGTTGTGTGGGGGCGTGCAGCCCTGCGCGGAGCTGTGTCCCGGTAACGGTGACGCAGGTGTGCTCTGTGCGTCACCGGGCTGCGGGGCGCCGAGCAGAGGTTAACGCACTTGCTCCACCGTGTGGACTGCTGTCCATTGCTGCGCAGGCAGCGGGAGGCGGGAAGCATCCATCGTCCCGAGCCACCACTCCACTCCGGGAGCCACAGGTGTGTGGGCTGCTGCCGAGCGTCTCCGTGTCCCGAGGTGTGACAGGCTGAGCCGGTGGGTGTGACGCGCCGAGGTACAGTCCGTGGTGGGGTGTAGGTTTGTGAAACCATGTTTGGCACGGATTGGTGCCTTTTTGGTGGCTTTTCAGCAGATGGCATTTTTGGTGATGACAGATGTGTGATCTTGCACCCTATAGTTTGTTTCCTTCCTGCCTCTACTGAGTAGTACCTACCTGAGAGCAATGGGCCCCAGGGGACAGAGATCAGAGCCTGAATCTCCTCATGAAAATGACCAACAAGGACAAAGACATGGTCGTGAGATGACAGTTTCAGAGTCCTAAGTGTTCTCCCCCGGGCTATCTGGACGAAAGAAGCTGGCCTAAAAGTGCGGGGGTTTTAGGTGATGGGAGATCGCCCTGAGCCAGCAGAGCTGCGTCACGTTCCAGAACCTTAGTGATTGAGCCTGGTGCTCGGGGAACTCTCAGACATTCGGGACCTAGGGACAGGTGTACCTCCAGTGTGCTTTCTGTGTTCGCCTGTGCAGCAGAAAGACCCTGGTGCCTCATTCTTGTTTTCCTCTCTCCCCAATCCAGCTAAAGAGAAAGCATCCTCAGTTGGAAGACTAATCACACATCGTGAAGTCAAGGTTCAGGTGAGTTACATGTCTTGGTTTTGAATGATTTTTCCCTAGATCTTAACAAGAGACTTAAAGGTGCTGATCAAGAGCATATTGTTCTTGCCTCTGCTTTTTTTTTTTTTTAACCAGGGATTAAACCCAGGGACACTTAACCCCTGAGTCACATCCTCAGCCCTTTAATTTCGAGACAGGATCTTGCAGAGTTGCTTAGCACCTAGCTTTTGGTGAGGCTGGCTTTGAACTTGCGATCCTCGTGCCTCAGCCTCCCGAGCCACTGGGATTACAGGTGTGTGCTACCACACCCATCTTTTTCCTACCTTTTTTAGCTTTCTGAAAATAGAGTTGTGATGAGGATGAAATTTTTTAATACACTTAAAAACATATTGAGGCCCCCTAAAGCATAAGTGCTCAGGACATGCCAGCTTTAGAGGCTGTGTGGAGAGCCTGGGTGTTCAGACAGTGAGCCACATCCATGTGAATGTGACTGTGTACTAAGAGGTCATACAGTGAACCAGAGCTTCAGACAGCCCAGCACAGGAAGCTCAGCCTGAGGCCCTTCCTTGAGCTCCATCTATAACTTTCCAAAATTATAAAATGCACTCACACATATACCATGTTTATTATACAGTAGCGTTTGTTATACAGTAATATGTCAGTGTTTTCCCCCTTAAAGAAAAACTGTGATTCCATGGCATTAAGAAAGTGTATCTTTGGGCCAGGTGCAGTCCGCATACTATAATCCCAGCAGCTAGGGAGGCTGAGACAGGAGGATCACGAGTTCAAAGACAGCTTCAGGAATGGAAGGCACTTAGCAACTCCGTGAGACCCTGACCCTACTAAAATATAAAATAGGGCTGAGGATGTAGCTCAGTGGCCAAGTGCTCCTGAGTTCAATCCCTGGTATCAAAAACAGAAAATGTACCTTCAGGCTGGGGTTTTAACTCAGTAGTAGAGATTTTGCCTGGCACGTGTGAGGCACTGGGTTCACTCCTCAGCACCACATAAAGATAAATAAATAAAATAAAGATATTATGTCCATCTACAACTAAAAAATAATAATAAAAAATTAAAAAGTGCATAGTCTGGATAGCTAAAAAACAAAAACAAAAACAGATGTGTGTTCTGCAGTTTTGAGGCTAGAAGGCCAAGATAAGGGTGAAAACCTGGTTGCGTTGGAGTGAGGCCTTCAAATTGCAGACTGCCCTTTCCTACCGTGTCCTCACATGGCATAAAGAGAGCTCAGGGCTTGAGGATCCTTTTTGTAAATGCATTAATGCCATTTATGAGGATCCCACCTTCTTGACATAATCACTTACAAAGGCCCCACTCCTGGTCCTTCACCTTGGGGGACAGGATTTCAATTTAGGCATTTTGATTGGACCCAGCATTCAGTCAGCAGGGAGTCTGCAGAGGCAACTTGGCTACATTATTTGCTCAGGGTCTGATTTGTGTTCCAAAGACAGGGAAAAGATAATCGAGGACAGGAAGGTGATAATGATTTTAGCAACACCCTTTTTGCAATATTAGGCCTTATATCGAATTTCTTTGTCGCTGTAAAAAATTACTATAGATTTATTGGTAACAGAGCCCTTAGTGGTCACACATCTGAAATCAGCCTCCCTGAGCTGAGACCAAGGTGTTGGCAGAGCTCTGGTCATGTTCCTAATAAGGGTTCCTACAGCTGCTGGCCCTGTGTGGCTTCTGACCCTTCTTTTACCAACAAAGACAAGTCAAGTCCTTCCTGTCACCTCATTCTGACCCTGCTTCTGCCATCACATCTTTCTCTTCTTAACACCCCCCCCCTTTGCTTATGGATCCTTTCGGTTACATTGGGCTCACTGAGATAATTCTAGATAATCATCCCTATTTTAAAGTTGAAAGGCTAGCAATTTTAAGTCCATCTGCAACTCTTAACTTCCCTTTGCCATTAAGGTGACATTCACAGTGCCAGAATTACCATGTGGATATCTTTGAGACAATGATGCCTGACACAGACCTGTCTATTCAGAGTTTGACCAGTGACTCCAGTGTACCTGCTCCCTACCAATGTGACCCTTTTTGTAGGCAAGCTGTGTGTGTGTGGCTGAGAACTGAACCCAGGGCCTCCCACATGCTAGGCAAGTATTCTACTACTGAGCTACACCCCAAGGCTCCTTTTTATTCTTCATGTTATTTCTTACAATGGAATTAACACTGACCTGCTATAAAATAATTGAGACCCCTAGGGAGCTCATAAAGAAGAATTTAAGTTATCCACAATCCTTAGGTACAGTAGCCATGCCTGTAACTCTAGCTACCTGGGAAGCTGAAGCTGGAGAATCACACGTTCCATCCCAGCCTAGGCAACTTACAAACCCCATCCAAAAAAAAAAAAAATTCTAATTGTACCATTCAGAGAAAACCACTTTTAAAATTTTGGTATGTTCCAGACCTCCCAACAGTCGTTCATAATTAAATTCAGGATTTTAATGTTTTTTTTCCACAGAACATCCCAGTATGTGCTGATGAACAATGCTACAATATCACTGGGTACTTTACAAGTAGGGACTGAACAAATTACACCTGCAAGATTCATGAACACAAGTAATAGATGTGGGCAATATAAGTAACATTTCCAGGATAAAAGAATAGGGTTGCAGCAGTTAAAATGTTCATACATACACATATAATCTTGGCAATTGAGGAGGCTGAGGCAGGAGGATCCCAGATTTGAAGGCCAGCTTGAGAAACTTAGTGAGATACCATTTCAAAATAAAATCAGCTAGGATATAGCTCAGTGGTTTGGCACTTGTCTAGCACATATGAGGCCCTGGGATTAATCCCCAGCACCACAAAGGAAACAAACAAAAGTCACACCAGTCTCCCTTGTCACTTTAGAACGCTCGATGCAGCTGTTCACTCGATGCTAATTTCTCAAGCTGTCATCTTCTCAGATCAGTCTCTGAGCTTGATTTTTGATGCAGAATCATGTCTCTGTTCCCCTGGGTGCTTGTGGAGAGGGAGCATGTTTTCAGTAATATATCAGAGTTTCCTTTGCTAATTTGATTAAGAGTTTATTCTTGAGATCAGGTTCTGAAAGTTTTTAGTGTTGATTATATAGGCAGCAATTTTGAACAGCACAAACTTCAGCCTAAGGACAAATGGGAAAGGGCAGACTTGACTTTCTTTTATGAAAACATTAAATGGGACCCGGGATATCACTGGCCTACCATGAGCAAGGCCCTGAGTTTAATCCCCAGCACCACAAAAAAAAAAAAGAAAGAAAGAAAGAAACCTAAATGGATGTGTAATGTTCTTGATCCTCATAACAACAGCTACCTTACATCCATCATTATGTATGACCAGGTGTTTGGGTTGATTATCTTCCTTATAACTGAGACGGTTATGGCTTATAATCTTTTTATTCCACACTGAGTTGGTACTGTCACTCCAGGTTTGGTTCGGCATTGTGGTCCTGTAGTGGACTTCAGCCTGGACACACAACTGATGTTCTGTATGGTTAATTTCAGTCTCCAGATCAGCTGCTTCCGTGTCTCCCAGTCCACCCTGAATCGCCGGTTGCTCTCTCCAGTGTGGTCAGCCCCCACCTGAAACAAAGAAAGCCGTTCCTATCAGGTATGACAGGTTACCTCACAGAACAGAATCTGGTGGCCAAGGCCGTGTGCAGCTGGGCTCTGGGCTCCTGGGGGGCCCGGATTTGTCCAGTACCCCTCCACCTTCCCCAGGGTGTCATGTTCATGTGCATGTTGGGAAGAAAGGGTGAGGAGTGAGGTCCCATTAGGTCATTTGGAAACCCAAACTGCAGGTGGTTTTTATGTCTCTTTTTTCATTCCTTTTTTCATTCTCATTTTTCATTCTGACCCCCCAGATTCTGTGTCTTCAGTGGAAGAAATCCCAAGATGAGCAGTCAAGCCCAGAGGTCTGACGCCATGGCCCACGTAAGAGCGTATTACTTTTCATTCTTGGAATATGACAGTCAGGCTTGTGGGATCGTTGTGAATTGTCCTGAGCTGCTGACTCGGCCTCCTGTACACTGGGTTTTTTCTCCAGAGAACTGTTGAAGTGATGCAGGAACAAAGCCTCTTGAGGGGTGCTCAGTCCTGTCTGTGGCTTGCTGCCTTAAATATGTTGGTCCCACTTGACCTCAAGAGGAGACAGATTCTCCGCTGATCTTGTTTTCTGGGTGCACAGGAGGGAACTTTCAGATCCGCTGATCTCAGTCTTAGCATGCAGTGAGATGCCGGTCTGGGGGGCTTTCACAGTTGGGCAGAATTGGATGTGGCTATGAGGAGGGCCTGTGGACACAAATCACGTTCCCTCCCCGAGTATTGGAAAGTGAGCCAAGGGCGCTCTACCTCTGAGCTACTCCCCCAGCCCTATTTTATTTTTGAGACAGGGTCTTGCTATTGCTAAGGCTGACCTTGAACTTGCAATCATCCTGCCTCAGCCTCCCAAATAGCTGGAATTACAGGCATGAGCCAGTGTACCTGAATTAGCTTTTGTCATTACAGAGGAACACTGTTTAAAGTCTGCTCTGGCATGATGGTGAATTTGAGGCTTGAAAACATTAAAATATGCCACGCCCTGTCTTCTAAAATAAAAGATCTGATTTAAAAAAAAAAAAAAAAAAGGAGAGGCCGGGGTTGTGGCTCAGAGGTGGAGCCCTTGCCTAGCACGTGTGAGGCACTGGGTTTGATCCTCAGCATCATAAAAAATAAATAAATAAAATGAAATAAATAAATAAAGGTATTGTGTCCATCTGTAACTAAAAATATTCCCAAAAAAGTGGGGGGGGGGTACTGTGGGAACCCACACTGGTCGGGCATTTACCGGACACTGGCAGGCTCTGCTGTGAATTCAAGGACAGCTGGGCTGCCTTGTCTGCTCCTCCCGGCAGGTGCAGGTCAGGGTGTGGGCTGCTTCCCGGGCCTCAGCAGGGCTCAGTGTGGGGGCACACAGGGTGCTGCCCCAGGCACCGGTGCCTCAGCCTTCCTGTGACCCACCCCAGGGAAGCCACTGTCTCTTGTCTCATCCTGAAGCCCTTTCTGTCTCTCATCCTGTTTGCAGGGTTCGGTGACATTTTCAGATGTGGCCATAGACTTCTCTCAGGAGGAGTGGGCCTGTCTGACCTCTGCCCAGAGGGACCTGTACTGGGATGTCATGTTGGAGAACTACAGCACCCTGGTCTCACTGAGTAAGTCGCCGCCTCCCTGCCCTGGACTCTGCGGCCTGCAATGTCTGGTTTTCAGCAACACCTCTCAGGAGACTAGCCAAGTGTCTGCCTCTGCTCCCAAGGGAACGTTCTGAGTTTCGCAGTAGGGACGAGGACATTACACACTTCATCTTCCCATCTGCCACTTATCTTCCCACCTTTGTCTGGCCTCCTGTGTGTCTCTCTGCCTTAGTAACCAAGGGGTGAATTGGAATTCTGGGGTATTTATTCCATGGCCATCTTCAAAGAAATGAAGCTGTACCTTAGGCTACCATGTTAATTGCTCTTAATGGTCTTTGGTACTTTGAGGATCTACCTCAGACCCAAGGTTATTTGGGTTTTTTTTGGGGGGTGGTAGTTATTGGGGATTAAACCTAGGAGCACTTAACCACTGATTCACATCCCCAGCCCTTTTTTATTTTTTATTTAGAGACAGGGTCTCACTGAGTTGCTTAAGACCTCGCTAAGTTGCTGACAGTGACTTTGAACTCACGACCCCCCTGCCTCAGCCTGTCGAGTCGTTGGGATTATAGGCACACACCCCACACATGGCTCCAGGGTGATATTTTGATACATGTATGTGGTAATAGTGATCAGATCAAGATAATTAGCACATCCATCACTTGAAACATTTATCCTTTGTTTGTAGCCAAAGCATTTAAGTCCTCTGTTCTGTGTCTACTTTGGCATATACAATAAGTCATGATTAACGATAGTTCCCCTATAGTGGTGTGGAGCACTAGAACACACTCCTCTTGTCCAACGGCAATCTTGTGCCCCTTTGCCAACCTCACCTACCTCCCTCCACCCCCCGCCACCTCTGGTACCCACTGCTCTACCCTCTACTTCTGAAATCTCCTCCTTTAGCTTCCACGTGAGAGAGAACGTGTGGCATTGATTTTTCTGTGCCTGGCTTATCTTAGGCTCCTCCGTGTTGCCCAAAGGTTAGAAGCTTATTCTTTTTTATGGCTGAGTATAAAAGCACAACTCTCCAACTACATGTTCATGTTGTTTCATAGTCGTTCTGAGTTTGATTTTCTTGGATTTTCTAGGAATGCCATCACATCATCCACAGAGTATTCTTGTTTTATCTTCACTTTTGAGATTTTTCCCTCTAACTCCTTTTACTGAAATGTGTCAGCTGACAGGAAACGACGGGGCTTGGCCACCAATGTGCTCTTCCCATTTGATGTTAGTGGCAGTGACTCCAGTGCTTCCCCTTTGACTGTTGAGGTGCCAGGAGTAGAATCTGCATTGCCAGGAGCTCTGGGTGACCCTCATTTGTTCTACTGAAGGCCTTTAGTTTTGGGCTTGGGGTTAGGTTTGACTTTGTTTTCCTGTAAAGAAAATATGTTGTTTTTCTTTCAGATTTGGAATCATCCTATGAGGCTAAGAGTTTAGCTATACAGAAGAGTATTTACAAAATGAATCTTCACAAAAGGAATTCAGGTAGCAAAAGTAAGTCTCATCCCCCGAACAGGATGCCTGAAGGTGAGTCTGAAGTCCCACAGGGCTCTCAAGAGAGAAATCGCAGTCGAGTAAAAGTCAACTCGAGAAAGGCGCCTGCCAGCAGAGACCGCACCCCTCCGAGACCCCACGCCCGGCCGCACAGCAAGGAGAGCTCCTACGAGTGTAAGGAGTGCGGCAAGGCCTTCAGCCGCGGCTACCAGCTCAGTCAGCACCAGAAGATCCACACGGGCGAGAAGCCCTACGAGTGCAAGGAGTGTAAGAAGGCCTTCCGCTGGGGTAACCAGCTCACTCAGCACCAGAAGATCCACACCGGGGAGAAGCCCTACGAGTGTAAGGATTGCGGCAAGGCCTTCCGCTGGGGCTCCAGCCTCGTCATCCACAAGAGGATCCACACTGGGGAGAAGCCCTACAAGTGCAAGGATTGCGGCAAGGCCTTCAGGCGCGGCGATGAGCTCACTCAGCACCAGCGGTTTCACACCGGGGAGAAAGACTACGAGTGCAAAGACTGTGGGAAGACCTTCAGCCGTCTGTACAAGCTCATCCAGCACAAGAGGATCCACAGCGGGGAGAAGCCCTACGAGTGCAAGGATTGCGGCAAGGCCTTCATCTGCGGCTCCAGCCTCATCCAGCACAAGAGGATCCACACGGGCGAGAAGCCCTATGAATGCCAAGAGTGTGGGAAGGCCTTCACGCGGGTCAACTACCTCACTCAGCACCAGAAGATCCACACTGGGGAGAAGCCTCACGAGTGCCGGGAATGTGGGAAGGCCTTCCGCTGGGGCTCGAGTCTCGTGAAGCACGAGAGAATCCACACAGGTGAGAAGCCCTACAAGTGCACCGAGTGCGGGAAGGCCTTCAACTGCGGCTACCACCTCACTCAGCATGAGAGAATCCACACCGGTGAGACGCCTTACAAGTGTAAGGAGTGTGGGAAGGCCTTCATTTATGGGTCAAGCCTTGTCAAACACGAGCGAATTCATACAGGAGAGAAACCCTATAAGTGTGAGGAGTGTGGGAAGGCCTTTAGTCACGGCCATCAGCTCACACAGCATCAGAAAACACATATTGCAAAGTCGTACACATGTAAGGATTGTGGAAAGGTATTCAACCATGCGAACCATCTTAGAGAGCATCAGAAGACACATAACAGCTGAAACCTCCCGACACACACGACACACCAAGGCCTCCCTCCTGCATTCACTCCTTCCTCAACATGAGGGAGACCCATGATTTAATTTAACATCAGAAAGCCTTCACTGGTCATCCTTCTAATTACAGAGCATCACAAGTCACACTAGAGGCCAACTTGGAGAGTTGGAGAAGTCACTTTCCTTGATGAGTATGACTGCTCAGTCATTTTTACTGGACAGGTTCGCTGAGCAAATGCACAGAGCTTGCCAATACCATTCCATCTTTTTTATGTTTGAGGTTCATTCTAGGAACAACTCTGCTGATGTAACGTGAGGAGGCCATCAGCCGTGACCCGTCCCCTGCCAGTTATCACCATCCACCTCTACCCCCAGTGAGACACACAGCACTCTGCTCATTGCCTGTGCATTACAGATGCTCCTTGGCACACAGTGGGGTCGTATCCCAACAAACCCACCCTACTTGAAAAGACATTCACAACTGCATTTAATACACCTGACTCAGCAAACATCGTAGGTCAGCCCAGCCTACCTGAAATGTGCCCAGAACACTCCCATTAGCCTAAGTTGGGCAAAATCATCTAACACCAAGGGTATTCAATAACAGTGGTGAATGTCTCACCTAACTTACTAAATATTATATAGAAAGTGAAAATCAATGGTTCTATTGGGCACACTTTCCACCATTGGGAAGCTCTAATATAGTGATTCTTTTGGGCACACTTTCCACCACTGGTAAGTTCTAAAATCAGTGGTTCTCTTGGGCACACTTCCCACCATTGGGAAGCGCTAAAATCAGAGGCCGTATTGGGTAGCTTTCCGCCATCGTGAAGTTCTAAATCAGTGGTTCTACTGGGTACGCTTTCCGCCATCGTGAAGTTCTAAATCAGTGGTTCTATT